AAGGCTAATGTCCTTTGCACTTTTCTTAAAAATCAACATTGTGTGTTCCTCTGCATCATGTTATAAGCTACACCAGTTTGTCCACAAGATACTTTTCTTTCCCCCCAGCTAAGCCTTTTAAATAATTAGAGATGCATCCAGAATATTCTCTCACATCCCAAAGATTCAAACCTTTAAAGCAACATGAGCAGGCAGAACTTCCTACCAAAGGGGGGAAAAAGCTTCACTAAGTTATTCTGCTTTCCGCAAATATAATTCAGTATTTTCCAATGACTTATCTGTAAGAGACTAGAAAACTGTAATCCTGCCTATCTGCTTTGCTTCCTGCATTCAACAGTAACTCAGAATAAAGTTCAAACACCGAAACTTACCCTTTGGGCATGCCTATCACACTTCAACAGGACATTTGTGTGCTGCTTGTTTGTAGAGCTCTGCCAGGGAATACTATGCTATTCTCATCTTACCATAAAACTTTTATTTCCACCTGAAGACACAGAATAACCTTTTCTGATCTTTATTAGCAGCTGGATCTAGTTAGCACCTGCTCTCTGATACAGTTGCTCCAAAGATTTGAGGTTGCAGTAAGCCAAACACAAAGCTTCATCTGCAGATACAGTTAAATAAGGCAGCAGAACTCAGGAAAGGGGCTGGGCCAGGCCACCTGTAGTACACAGACTAAAGCTCCAGGTGTTCAGGCTGTTTCAAGACAGTAACCAGTTTTCCTTGGAAGAGATTACTATAACCACATATTGGCAACTGCTGGATGGAAAGCTTCTTTTGAATTGCTTTGTCATTCTCATGTCTTTGAACATACAGGTATAGGGATTAACTGGAGTTAAAGCAGGACAGGGGAGAACAGAATGAAATTTTGTCCTTATTACAAATGAATGCATTGAGATTATTTATTTTAGCAAGGCACATACAGAACAAATAACTGGATAATTGAGTGTTTCTTAACAACTTGAGGGATCTTCAAGGCAGTACCAGTTCTAGAAATCCCTGGAAGATGAGAACCTGGCAGGCCTGTAACAACACACAGTACCAGGTTTGCAGCTTATCTTGGTAACTCATTTATTGTCCCAACACTGACTTACTGTCATGTGGTTTTCGAGTGTTTGGTCCAACACGGTTTGAGGTTCCTTCAGCTTTGATCATCTGATAAAAGCAGTAAGAAGAATGTTTGGTTATAAGCCCATGAGCTGTGTGCAGCCACCTGGTTCGATGCTGCCATCAAAACCTTGATCAACCTTTGGAATAAAGCAAGCAAAATCAGTTTCTGAAAAATCATACAGATGCACCAAGCGTGCCCTTGAAAAATGCTCCAGCTAATTAGCACAAGCAAGCAGAGTACAGAAGAGAAAAACATCAAGGGCTGTGTCCAAATATTTCAAGCCTGGCATTGATTCACTGAATTGCTTTTTGCTATTGATAAGTAGGACTACGTGCTTAGTATGCAGTTCTAACAGTCAGGCCTCCTCAGATGCACAAAGAACTGGTATTTAAATATGCACTGAAACACTGAACTTCAGCTCAGTTCTGTTTTGCATTAAAATTACACTATTCTCTGAAGCACATGATTAGCCCATGCGGACTGAGACAGACATCCAAAACATGTTGCTGCTGTAGTCACCTCTGATCCAACATAAGGAGACATTTTCTTGCTCTTGATTTTTCCACCAGACTATCTGAAGCCAAACATTCACACGTAGCTTCAGGGACATTACAAAGGAGACGTGTCAATCATGAACCAAGTTACAATTCAAATCAGTTCAAGAGCAATACAATATTGACAGTATCGCTTTGCTTCTATGCTTTGCTAAGCTGTAATGCTACCTGTCGGGTCTGTGTAAAATGCATTCCTCTCTCACAAACCTGACTGCAAGGAACGTTCCAGATACACCAGCCACAGATAAGACTCCGACAGTATGCCAGGAAGAAATGAAACACCAGTTATAAATGCTAGGTTTTTTACAACTATTAGCTACGCAAGTCTCCACAAAGAAGGTACCGTGTTGTTTTTTTTTTTGTTAACCTTTTGAGCTTTACAACGAAGGCCGAGCCTGGGATGCTCATGTTTGTAATCTACATAATCTGAAAATTCCAGCTATCCCAAACCGAGCTCCTCGGGTCACTTTCAGTTCAAACCATATTTGGTAGCAGCAATGTCTGTCATATTTCCATTACTAGAGAGAGAAAAATGTGTTTATCCATCCTAAACTAACCACCTACTGCTGCAGTAATTTCATCTGACAGCTTCCACAGTACGACAGCAATATCCTCTTGGACTTCAAAGATAAGCCACAGATGGGATCTCTTCTTCATATAAAGAATATCTTCCTGCTCATCAACTCCTGTTTCTATCATCTCTTGACAGAAATGCAGCAGAAGACTGCACAGGCCCTAGGAGTTCTTGGAGACAGCTATAAAAGCAAGCAGGATCTTTATCTTCAAAAGAACCTTAAAATAGCGATGTAGCATACTAACAACAAAATCCTTCCACAAAAAGGAAACGAAAATAACAAAGGTCTGAAGACTTTCCAGCCACAGTTTCCCAGGAAAGTAAGGACAAAGCAAAGCACTGCACCAGGATACTACAAGCAGGATCATACATAGCTATGAAGTCCTCTTATGGGTAAGATGGTACAAACAGTCTTCCTAATAGGAACATGAAGCTTGCTGAAACCTAACAGTATATTTGCATAGTCATACTGCAAATTAGTTAGAATCAGGCTGCAAAAAAGTCAGAAACAATGAATGAGACCATTTCAAACTTGAGTCTGGAAGTACTTCTGTGCATCTAGATGTAGCAAACAATACAGCCCACTAATATAAGACCGGTTAGAGTGTTTTCAGTGAGTCTATTTCCTCCAACATTTTCTGGAAATAGATCAGATCAGTACAAACAAGCCTACCCATGTGGAGACAGTGCTGTGTTACAGCAACACAATGATCACAACTGTATTTAAATATGCATTTTTTCCTCCTTTAAAGTAGCTAACAATTATGAATATTCCATGCATAGAAAGCATCATTAAGAAGCATAAGAAAAGAAATCCTTACAAAAACTCAGATCAATGATCAATCAACATGAAAGACCAAAGAATTTCCTTAAACCAACAACTCAACTTAGATTAAAGCAGATTTTTCTCTAGCTCTTGGGTATCAAAAAAAGCCTGTCAACCAACGAGGAAAAAGACAAGATGTTGTGTGCCACACTGTACTCTACTATGAAACCAAGAATGGGTATTACTGTCAGATGAAAAAGGGGTGTGGGAGAAGAGGCAGAAATACCCCTCAGTTGGTGTATTTTTTTCTTCCTCTCTTAACAGCTCATTCCAGAACACTGTTATTTCCCAGTTCGCTAACGCTGTGCTACTTGGCAGCATTTTAACCCTGTACAGACAAGATGCTTACACGGAAGAGTTATCATCAATCAGTTCATTACCAATTTCCATGGAAAACTTGGAGCCCACATTGTTAGGCCAGTCTGAATCTCTTGGACATTGACTGAGGTTCTGGTTATCTAACGGCAGCAGGGTCATTTCCTTTCTTCTCCATAGTCTTGCCCTGCTCCCCCCCCAGCTGGTTATTCATACTAACACTGCCATAGCATAGATGTTTTCCATTATGCAGTCTTGCCTGAAACAAGGAGAATTACACTATTAGCATGTCAATGTTTTGTAGAATCAATAAAGCATTCACCACTTTTTCCAGCTTTTGGGGACTTTCAAAGAGATTTAAGCTTGAAAAGTGATTAAAATTCATGCTGTTTTTTCCAGGTCTGTATCTCTGTAAGAAAAAAACCTACCCTGTGTTATGCTTGAAATAGCCCCCAAACCTTTGACAGTTCAAAAGATCAGAAACCAAGGTAGCTACTGTCTCACAAGGTCTGTAGCTACACCTCAAAGCACAGTATTTGAAGTCAAACTTTTCCATCAGATCTTTCTAATATTTAACACTCCAGTAAGAACTGCACACACTGCTTGCAGTTGTTGACTTCACACACTGATTAAAAGAAAGTTATAAAAAGCTATTGATTTCTGGACCATCTCAGTTACTTTACAAGAATTAATTTTATCAGAGCATAATTAGTTTCAGGTTCTCATTTCTACCTTTTCCAGATTGGGCAATAGATCTACACTAACATTGTAAATGTAAGCTGAACTGGTACAGTATGTTTTGTTTTCCTGACTTAGTTTTGATATTCCATACGAGAAACATCTGTAGAGGTTAAGATTATTAAACCCTGTATTTTTAACCTAGTACAGGATGATGAAGGATGTTGGCAGGCATCCCAGTCACCCAGTGGTAAAAAAGCAATCAAACTCTTTGCCAGTCAGTGATTGCTGCTATACAAGAACAGCAATTTCTTCAGGATACCACCACTACATCTGGCTTCATAGCGTAATAAAATTAAACGAAGAATATCCCATTTTTTTAGGACACTTAAGAATGCCTGAAGACTCTCCCCTTGCAGCAGCTTCTGTAGTAAAAGTGAGCACGTTAGGTACTCACAAATACAGCTTTACACCTGGACATTTCATACAGAAGACACTGTTCCAGAAACTAAGGAAAAAATAAGAAAGCGTTAATCCAGCTGTTCGGTAACGACATTTCTTGTAACAGGCTGGCACTTGGCAAAAAAAACATTTCAGAACTCGTAAAACCAAACCTCAAGTAAGCAATGACTGAAGAGCACCAAGTTACCTCATCAACGTCTACATAACAGATCTCGCCAATAACTTTGTGAAGAACCAACAATACTCACACACGCTGCTGTCATCATCAACTTGCAAGAACAAGCATCAGTACCAGATGAAAACTACCTCTACGTTTGATGCTATATAGTCAACTTGCTTCAAGATGGGGTAAATTAAACCATCGTTCAAAACCACAGACCAATCCAACATAAATGAGTAACATATATGCTATTTTTTTAAAAAAAGCCCACATCATTGACTAACAGTAAACAGTAGTAAAAAATAACCAGTCAGACTTCATTCAAATGAATTAGACAACTTTTACTAAATGAAAAAAACTACATTTAAAATATGCATTTAAAACAAAAATGGAATTAGAAAAGAGACTTAAATCCATTTTGAAGAACTTGCTCACTGTGTCAGAAATCAATATAACTCTCGCATTATATAATGTGCCAGTTCATAAAATGTAAGTTATCAGAATCTTCAATTTAACATTTTCAAAGACGATACTGAAGTCAAGAGTTTTACATCTACTGATGCACATTTAGAATGGTATAAATCTGCAGCCTTCCCCCAAAGAATCTTACAAATTCAACAATATTCAATAAAAGCTTTTGTATTGCATCCCAAAGCATCACAAATCTGTGCCTTTCACGTATCCTACTATAAACTTCTCTGTATCTCACCATTTGCCAATCTTTACCCTTTTGAGAAAGGAGAGAACTGAAAAGAAATACTGCATAACTCTTGATCGTGTACAGAAATTATTGCTACTATAGTACACTACAAAGCAGAAGTCTATACAATAGTATATGAAATTTGATCATGAAAATCCAAAGGATATAATCTTTAGTGACATAAGCCTTATAATCACATCGGACATTCATTTAGCAGTTTTAGCTCACCACTAGTCAGCCAACCCGCTGTCCACTGATGAACATCCATTTAAATACACCCTCTTATGAAAAAGAATGTCAGCTGTCAAAGGCTTAGCAAATAAGGATCTTCATGTTCTGTGGAACTATGCAAGATGAATTCTGATGCAGGTAGGGAGTTACCTGGAAGCTAAGCATGCCAAAAGGTGTTTCATGCTAATAAAACTAAAGCCAAGGTACCACATAATCAAGTTACCAACTCATAGGCAATACCATTTTTGTCCTAAGTTAAATGAAGTGCCATAGCACAGTGTAATGTCAATAATTTAAAATAGTGTAGTGCACAAATTCATCGTGTGGCAGTTTAAGTTAAAAAGTCAAGACAGGTTTTTGTTCCAATTTACGTTGGCTGTCAAGCTATCCAGTCTGGGCATGTTGCAATTAGTTTGCCTTTTAATCACTACTGTACTATAAACTTTGCATTATAACGGGGGGCACATATTTGCGCGGCATTATTATGAGTAACATGAAGTTAGGGGGAGGATAAAAGATCAATGGCTGTTCTAAAAAGCCCCTTTCTTATTTCAAATTCAAAGAGAGCCAGGGAGTATGACTAGATACCATATTTGCATCATTCTAGCTACAAAATAACCAAAGTAAAAGCAATCAAGCAACAATAAGACCACATTACACAAATGGAACATCATGCTCTCATCTGGTTTAACTATTACATCAAGTTTTAACTGGGATGTTGGTCAACTTTAAAAACCGTGGTAAGTGTGAATATGTAGTTGCAATAGTTTTTTTAATACTTTTTTTTAAACTATGCTGGATATTAGAACTTGGAGCTATACTTGTTACAATACAGTGTCGCACATCTTTCTACTAGAAAAATTAATAAAGATCCTTTACCCGTCTCTTTAAGTTAAACGTGTGACATCATAAAGGGTGTCAAATGGCTGGATGGTTTTACAGTGCACACTTATTATATACTGTATTATGGAGTTTTGTCCTTGACAGATCTGATGGTGTTTCTACAATATTCCTTTCTTCACCTCTTCTTCGGTGGATTAGCTGTGCGAGGTGGAGTGACCGGACGTCCGGAATTCAGTCCGCCATACTGGTACTTGGCTTTCTTTTCAGATGGTTTCAATATCTTAGAGAAAATAAAGAAGTTCTTTTGAGTCACTGACAGCTGAGAACATTTCAAATGCCACTAAGCCAATACGAAATCTCAATCAGCAGGAACAGGGTGGGGAGCTGGAAATCACAGTATGAGCCTGCAAGTTTCTGAATCCTATGTACAACAGCAGTATGCGAAACTAAATCTACTTCTAAATCCCTCTAGTTCTGCCATTATGCTGGGGTGGGGAGACAGTGGGGAGCAAAGGTGCTGAAAACACCACATCCAAGGAGGAGTACAGAATAAAACCTGAACAGAATAACCAAACTGAAAGGATGCTATTAGTCTGCATAATTAGGTACTCCAATCACTAGGTAAGACTAAAGAATCACCTGAGTAACAGTGAAATGAGGATCTAAGTAGAGGTAGTAACTAATACTTAGGAGTTTGGAAAACGACAAATCTCATGCGGTTGTCTGGGGAATAGTTAGTTTGTAATTCTACTTCTCTGTCCACAGAGATCAGCCTGCTGTGACACCATTTCTGTACCTCAAATGTATCAACGCAGTCTAACCATAAGCACGTCAACAAGCAGACTAATTCAGTCTATACAGTCCAACACTTACAGGAATACTTAGTGTACAAATGTATCATACCTGAAAGGAACACATCAGAGTTTCATCCACACTCATCATGCCCCCTGCATTGTCAAACTCTCCACAATAATTTGGAGCTGAGAATAGGGTGACCAACTGTCGTTTAGCAAAGAATTCATATCCATCTTCAACCACCTGTCAACACCAGAGAGATTATACAGCTCACAAACGAAAAGACATGCACTGAAGAAAAAGGCCAGTCTTGAGACAAACAGAACTTTTATGAATAGAATTCACTAAAAAGGTGTTTTTTGTCTCAGCTTTCAAACAGGACAGTTTCAGTCATTTTTGAATATCTGGACAGTGAATGCCAGATCGTGTACCTTCAACTGACTGACAACTCCAACATTAACTATGCATCAGCTTCCCTGTTTAGCATTTTTATACTTGGAAGTCCGATTATGCACTGCCACTTTATGGATTCCCAGCATTTTATTGGTTATACCCTGAATTTGGATACATTTGACACATTAGTTCAGAGCACAGAAGGTCTGGATACTACCTTCACTGCAACTGAACCATGAAGTTTTACTTCAGTTTTACTTAAGTTTTGTGGAGTCAGCACTAGACTAAGTATAGTCTTTTGTCAATTTTGACATCTAAAAGCAAGGTGGTTCTGCTGTGCTTTCTCTAAGAGCACAATTCGCCTTTCAAATAGAGCAAGCAGTACAACGTAGCAACTAAGGATATTCCCTCTTCCCCAAAACAGAAGCCTTGCACTATAACACACTGAAATCAGTGCACATCAGAATGCTGCTCAATTTAGTCCAATTGCTGGGGTCTTTTGAAAGATGTTATACTTTTTTTTTTTTTTTTTTTTTACAAAGAGCTGAAGCAAATACATGAACACAGAAAGGAATCTTAATCTGCAGTTGAGAAATCTCAACATCTATCCTGCATACTAGTATTTTTTGCAGTAAAAGTGTTAGAAGTATTTAAGTGTTATGATAGGGTACCCAATCTTAGCCATACCACGATTAAAAACGTACCTTACCTTCACAGCATGCCAGAGCTTTTTAAATCAACTATGTAATGAAACTGAAATGTTACACAAGAAACTGAAACCTGATGTCCATCTAACCAGGATACTTGCTTAAAATAACTTGATAAAAATTGCAAACAAAAAAGTGTACTTAAAGACTGTCAGTGCCAAAAATAACCCTGCTTTCTCCGCATTTCAGCAAGTCAAGCAAACCTATGCCAAAGTACTCTAGGTTACTGAACTAAAATAAAGGCAGCAGTGCAAGATTTTATGTACAGGCTTCTAGAAGCATTCAGAAATCTACTGAATACTTCCATGAAGTCAAGTAGAGATCATTTAAGCCACAATTACTTAAGAACTACCCAGTATTGAAGTGGAACAACTCTGAAACTTCAGTGTGGTTCCTGAGTTTGTTACTTCGCCACTTTAAGCCTAGACATTTCATCTCTAATATTCACATAAAATAGTCTGACAGACAAACGAGATCCATCACTGAAGAAATGTATTGTTAATATTCCACTTCACTGATATTAGAAACTCAGTTCACTAGGAGACAACAGAAGGATGCAGCCTTATATTTCTTTTATTATGGACAGTTTTCTTTTTCTGAAAGTAAAGCAACACCAAGTAAGTTTAAATGTGTCCTAAAAGATAACCAACACCAAAACACCATAAATTGTAGAAGGGAAAGTTTTAAGCAACAACAACGTAATTCATACCTGGTGAGCTCGACAGATCAAATCCAGATCATGACGATTCAGAAATTTACTGACCACATCAGCACCAAAAGTGAAAGAGACCCCACGATCATTTTCACCCCAACCTTGCACATCTTTGTCTGGGTCAGACCACAGCAGGTCACACAGTAAGCCTTTGAAAGATAATACAAGTGAAGATGTTAGTCTTAGGCAGTATTGTTCTACAAATAAAACAGTTTTACCATAACTACTAGAACAGATTTCCTACGGGAAAAAACACACGTAAAAACACACAACCAAACAAAAATCTCCTTTGGAACAAATACAGCAATATTTGAATTTTGACTGAGACAAAAGATGTCTGCAAAAGCCTGGAGTACAGGTCAGGATTTGTTCCTTTACAAAGGACAGTACCTTCAGATGAAGCAAAGCAGAGCCAAACATCTCCCTGAAATAATACTTAATTGCAATATTCAGCATATTTACAGTGAGCATTTGAAGAGTTCAAAAATACAGCAATGAGTGCACTTTAAAAGACAACCATCAATTTCACAGCTCACCAAGCAAGCTTAGTTTGAAAGTCACATCAAATTGTAGTATTCTGTGCAGGACCGATCAGAAATACCACAAACAAATTTGTACTACAAGCTTCCGAATGTCAAAGCTTTCTTACAATACCTTAGTAACCATGACTAAATCGGAATTTATCAAAACAAAATTCACGTAAATGGTTTCAAGTAGCACTTTCAGCTTAATTGGACTTCCTCTGACTTTTCAAAAAGCTTCGTGCCAATCAGTTTGGAACCTAAATTCAAGTAATAAAAAACTTCATAATTTTTAGCACTGGTGAAGCACATGTCAAAACCAAATCTGTTGGCAGCACTCTGCTGCCAATGAAAGGTCAGTTAACACTGGAGTTAAAACTGTGTACTGTAGAGGATCCTTTTGTTCAACTGCAATGCCTCAGGCCAACACAGCTGCAATACAAACAAGCCAAAGAGCATTCAAACTGTATCTCAGTTTGCATTGAACAGTACTTTCTTTACTGACAATGACTAACCCTTAGGTATTAAAGTACTTAAGAACATTGTTTCACAACCGAGGAGACACAACAGGCTCTCTATCTAGCACTCAAAGTTTAATTTCCAGCTAAGTCAAGTTATTAGCTACACAAAATAATGAAGACACTTTTGAAAATAAAAGATCCTGCAAGTTATATTCAAGCAAAAATCAATGTCAGAAGCTTGTTGTGCAACTGGACTATTTTGTCTTTATACACAGCTATCAAATGTTTTTTGGCAACAGTTACAGTTCCTCCCTAGAAGCTTGCATTTATTTGATTTGCTTTTGAAAGATGTAACAGAGCAAGTAGAACTCCATTTTAAATATCTATCCAGAAATAAATTACTGAATACAGACATAATTTGATGAAAATTTACTGAAATTCAATTCTATACAGAATATAACATTTTTCAAAACATAATAGTTTCACTGCAATCCCTGGTGATTTCTTAGCAAGACATTTCCAACTAGTGGCAGAAGCTGCTCATCTCAACTGCTTAGGAAGACTTCCTCTTCTCTTCTCCCCCAGAGATCAAATAATCTTTTGGGTCATACACGGTTGTAAGCTAATTTGTCCTATCATCTTTTAACAGATGTGTAACACAACCCTGCAACAAGCTTATCCCATCTATACAACTAAAATTAAACCTTGCCACACTAACAGGTTTATTTTAACGTACAACACCTACCATGACAATAGGTTAGGCTGGCTGGAAGAACACCAGAACACAGCTTCAAGATATTCAAGATTGCACAAAAGGAGCTAAAGTTTCCTAATAAGTGACTGGTCAGCAACGCCAACCAGAATACCTTGGCCTCACAAAATGCAACTACAAGTGTTACTAAAGCAAATGATTTAAGTTGGAATACAGACTTAGATTTTAGCAAACAGCTTCCAAACCCCACGAAAAAGCCACCAAAACAAGAGGTCTTGAAACTGCAACTTGCAGGTGCACAGGCTTTTTCCATTAGACTACAAGAAGCTATTGTAATGATCCAACTGATCTAACCAGCACAAGCCACAAGAACACCTACTAGTAATTTCTACATCAACACAAGCATTTATGAAGAGGCATCCCTCTAGAAATGGATAGCTTTTAAGAATTCTTAACTTTCACAGCAGCAAGACTGCTTCAGTTTGTTTTCCAAGATATTTACTTCCATTCAATATTAGTTGCCTTAAGTAAGCTCAAAAACCAAAGTCCTTCTATGTCACTGTCACTTTTACCTCTACTGGTAAACATCTGGCTATTGCTTCTGAGAGCAAAACGAAGACAGCAAACCACTCAGTAGATCAAAAGCGTTTTTTTAAAAAAACTGTGCTTATTTTTAGTAGGTACTAGGAACGCATGATTTCAGTGGAGTGTCCATGGAAACTGGAATTACATTCTGCAAGGGCATTCCTGAAGTGGGGGTGGCTCAAGCAGTAGTATTAGCCTGTTGAATAAAACTACCTTTTCTGAAAGATCTGATAAATGTAAAGTTTGACTCATTTGTACTGACATTTATGTTGATATGGAGTGAATTATAAATAGCATGAGGAAGAACTTGAGTGTTTCTGTATTATAAATGACTACTTCATCTAGTAACGCATCTCAGTTTCAAGTGTGCATATACCAGCTTGTAGTGAAGTATAGTTAAGGGACAATGGATATTGAAATCAGACCCTGAATTACTCCTATGCATTAACACTAAACGTATTGCGCTAATTAGCAGAAGAAAATCTAATGACTGGTACATTGATATAAGCAATGAAATTCCAATCGCTCTGAAGTGGCTATACTTTACAAATCTGAAGAGGAAGGAGACACTACTGGCCCCAAGTAAAGAGAAGCCCAAATACTTCAAATAATACTCAGCAACCTTTAAACCGTTATCTTCTTTGATAGACGATAATGTTTGGGTGTGCCTAGCCTGGTCAAAGAAAGAAAAAGAAGCTGTTGAGTTTCATTTGATCTTCCATTAGATTTCTGAGTTTAAGGAAGGCTTGGGTAGGATGTCTCAGTCTGTTATAACAAGCAATAATGATGTGGGCAATAACCTCTAGCAGTACCAGATAACTGAGCCATCGTGACGAACAAGACTCAGTGTCCCGCAAGAAAGTCAGCGAATATTGAACCGAGTTAATGACTTCAGTCAGTGCACTGCCCATACAGAAACTGATTAAACTCATTTCATCACTAATACCAATTTACAGTAAACTCCATGTCACTCACCTGTGTCAGGAACATCTGTAGGTCTCATAATTCTCCGGATCTGCTCCATTGACTGGAGATCTGGAGACAGTCCTGTAAGTACAAAAAACCCAAGTGCTTTATAAACACATTTTACCTGTAAAAAAGGGTTCCAGAGAACAAACAAAGGTTCAAAGTCACACAGCACCCATTGTTTCCACTGTAATATAAACAAAACGGTTTTCTACAAGACCATTAAGCTCCTGAACAGGACACAGAATAACATAAGTGAAATTACTAAGTTTCAACTGTTTTCCTACCATGCCACACAGCACAGAACTCTACAGTTAAGTGTATGCTCTCTTTAACAGTGCACTAGAGAAAGCCAGGACAATTAAAGTGGATGCACATTACCTTCTTTGCAAGCAACTTTCAGAAAGCTACAGGAAAATACCCTGCCAGCTTTAAAAGACCACAAGCCAAAGCAGCCTGCAGGTATGACTAAAACTGTAAGCAAGTTTCAGTGTGCTACCACCCATCAGTTGAGCTGCAGTCACTGGGTGCTGTCAACGAACACTAGATTTTGCAACTGCAATAGATCAGGAGCACAAAGGTAGTCAGTCAAGTAGTCATCTACTACAGCTTAGCTGCTTAGTCATTTATAAAACCACAGTAACTTGATGAGTCAAGTCATTTATCACACAGAACACACCTCTTCTTGCATAGTTTTGTCATATTAACATGTACTTACAGCCAAAGGATGGGGTTCCAAAGTACTCTGAACTGCTTAGGTATGCACCCCAGAACTGTTTTACTTGGCACACAGGCATGACAAAAGTCTACTAGATGCTCTGGGATCTTAACATGACCTTAACTAAAGCTATGAAAGTGAGTTGAATACTTAAGTGACCTATGACAAGTTCATAAATAAAGCAAGAGTGCCTGTAGTGCTAAGGAGATAAAATGTTCTGTATTAGCAAGCCATATCCATTTTGGACAGTCCAGAACTTTGAACGTGACAGGAAACCTGTCACTGGAGGGGAGTCACCACATAGAGTAACTTCAGCTAACATCCAGGTTTGGACAGTGGCAATGTACGTGTTGGATGAACAATGACTCCAACTCATCTGATGTAACGAAGGGCCTGAGGAACTTTCCTTCAAATATTAACAAAAAAAAGCTGAAATCTTAAGAGTGGTTTCATGATAAAAGCTTTCTGTCCTCATCAGCTTGTTGACAATACCCTGAGGTTGTGAAAGGTGAATCTTTTGATGAATACTGTCACAAAGACATTTAAGCCAGTTCTACTTGCACAACAATACAGGGAGAGTAAAAATTCAAACAGATAATCAGCTTTTAAACTTCAACCAACCCTATCACTTTTCCCTCCCCAAACCTGACCCATTTGCATGCAGAGTACATTAGCACAAAGGCGTGTAGGTTCCAGCGAGCACCACACCCTGACACAGTAATGGGCAGTCTCACTGATGTTAGCACAACCAGTTTGTGACTTTCTATGGGCTTACAGCTCTCAACATTTCAGGTTACACCCAAAAGATGAAGTTCTTTAAAAGAAAACTGTTATTACACACCATGTCTCAGTGCTGTAGCTGTTAATTTTGTTATTTTACACTGCTGTAAAACACCAAACACCCACAAAACTACCTGCATGTTTGTAGACCTCTGTAACTATTCAAGAGGCCATTTTTCCCCAAGTATCGTAACTTCCCTTGCCCAAACAGGAATAGCTAACGTCTGAAATTCAGATCTACAGACAAGAACCGTGCCCGATCAGCATCCCATCAAGGAGCTAAGGCAAATAGGCTGCTAGAACTCTGTCAGGCTGCTCCTGCTATGCTGACTGCTGCAACCCATGGATTGAAAATAAACTGCAAAGTACACTGTTGAATTAAGCTGTCTTGTCACATAATGACAGCTGAGCACAGAAAAAATACCATTCAGCATATTATCTTCTTGAAGTGTAAGAGCACACCTTTCCTAATGGAAAACAGAAAATGAGTTGTCATTACTCCTGGCAGACTCATCAAGTTCAGGCACTAGATTTGAAACCACTCATCATGTAGAGCTGGTGAAGTGATTGCTACATATTTTTAGAGTGTAATCCAGAAAGCTCCTATGATCTCTCTGGATATGACATCAGAAGATCAAGAAGTCTCCCCAGCTTCAACATACATTTAATGTCAGGAATGTCACAAGATAAACAGGATTCCAGAGTGTGAAAGCCTTCTATCTAGCATTCTGCTAAACTAACACAGTTCTCATTGCCAAGATTAGATTTGATGTGGTCAGACCAATGTGTTTCATCAACATGATGCTACAGCATGGGCTGAATTTGTAGAAATTTGGAAGTTATCACAAAAAGTCTCTAAAGATTAGAACTAGCACATGGCATCATAAAGACGACAATACCATACAGAATACAAAGCAGAGCTGGGAATGGTTATGGAATGAGCTTCAATGAAGTGAGATAAAGAACAAAGAAGTTATCTGAGAGGACAGCTTTGAGGAAAAAAACAGAATATGACTTCTATGCACAGCATGGAAAGACAGGGAAGATTTAACAAGGAGGGGAGGAGGCAAGTGAGAAGACTTCAACGAAAGATCCTTTGGCAGTGTGAACATTTGGAGGAAGGGATAGCAAGAAAGGTTTGACTCATACTGTGATGTAGAGAACACAAAAGTCTGAGTAAAAAAAGCTGAATTGGGATTTTAAGCTGTTGTAGATAGCCTACTGGGGTAAGTTAGGTGCCTTTTGTTTACTATGTTATGCGGTTTTGCAAAGTTTTATTATATATCCCATAGGACAATATTTTTAAAATAAACTATGCAAAAATGCGCAATATAGTAAAAAAGGCACCTACCTTATATCTACCTGCTAGCTTCAACCTCCAGCAGAGTTGTATGGTTAGTGCTGCTGCCTCAGTGTTTATTATAGTAGTAACATCATGAAAAGGCGTTGACAATCCATGACTTCAGGGGATCTGGAATGCAGTTTTGGACAGGATTGGAGAAGAGTGGAAAAAGGGCAGAGCTCAAGTGCTGAAGGGCCATTTTCATTTATCAGGAGCACACAGCACATTTAGTAAGCTTTTCACTTTGTTTTACAGCTTGTGAGTGACAGTAATTTCAGTTACAGATGAAACCTGTACACATTTAAGGGACAATTAATAAAACATTAAATGCTGTTTTTTCGTAAGGGGATCCTCTAAGCATACTATGCATAAGAAAAGTCTTCCTCCTTCCTTAAAGAGGTTAAACCCTCTCCTCCCTCCCACCAGTGTTAAAGAAGCTTCACATTTTTCCTGAAAATAACTTTCTAGTCTTCCTGCTTGTAACTCAGATCTGAAGTGCACATAAACATTGAAGTATTATTAGTTTTGTCATAGAATGCAGCATTCTCCTCTACTTGCTAAGCATCCTTGATGGCCTTCCACCACCTAAGCTTAATTATTTACCTGGAACACCCCTGTATTTTGTCAACACTCATTCTGTTTCCCAAATAAAACAAAATACAAAGTAGTACAAGAATAGCAAAGGAACACTTCCTTTGCCAGCTTTTTCTGAAAGTTATGACACATTTTTAGCCATTGCTGATGACTTCCTCTGTGCATGTTGTTTTGTATCTTACATTCTTAAAATTTTGAGATCTAACTCATAATACAGGTAACAAGTCCTTAAAAAAAAACAGACACCACACCACAACGATGAGAATGAGAACAAGAAATGCTCCTATAATAAACCAAGCATTTCTCTAATATGCCAGTGCTACCTGGAGACCAGCATAGACACAACTGTCTGCATTAATTCTGCATTTAGAAACAAGATAATACCTCAGAGCATATTATGCTTAAGACTGATAAGCTTACACTAGCAGGCACCGTATGCTGAAGCTTCTGATACAAGATACAAGAGAAGGCAGGATCATTTTTATTGCACGTTCCGTGCAGGCACAGCCCTTGTAGAGATACTCATGAAGAATAAGGGCAGGGTAGCAGTCATCAATACAACCTCAGTCTCAAGAAATCTCTTCAGGAATTTCATGTGCACACTATGTTTACAATCCAACAGAGCTGTTCAGTCAAACTAGAAGTTTCTGTAAGGCTCTCGCTTCCACTTATCTCTAATCACCTCACTGACAATGCCAGTGTGACACTTACCAGGTCCTTTCTGGATCACTTGATACAAGACAGCAAGCTACTTAATAATGGAGGTAGTTGCAAGAAGGTGGGATGGCTCTTTCTACTACAACAGTGTTTGGAAAGTGTTGTCAATTGTTTGAATTGTGACAGGACTCTGCCAGGTCTCAAAGACCTAGAAGCATCAGTGCTCAGAAAAGCACAGAGTCTTTGTACAAAGAAAAGCACCTGAATAAGTTCTGATATGGGGAGAAGTCACAAGCTTCTTGCAGACCAACACCAAACACTTCGTTCACTACCAGAATCAAGCAGTGCTGGGACAGGCGGCAGAATGTAGGTTTTCCAGCAGGGAAGGTTCTGTGGAGTCAGGGCAAGCCATGGTTGACCTGATCTAATGTTAGTCTTACTTCAAGCAACAAGCTTAATTATGTGAGCAAAAAGGTCTCTTCCTCCATCTTACAAAACCAGCTAAAAAGGCCAAGACTACAGAGATTAGGTTACTCATGAAATCTGTTCTTTCAATTCACTGCTACAGCACCAAGTGACTGCTCTCTGTCCGTGCAGTCCTAGCTATGGCAAGTGAAGCAAATCGGGCATGAGTTCTAGTATTCAGTGTCCTTCAAAGAGGGATATATTGATGTAAATACTTAAAACACACCCCTTTGGCAAAGGCAGCCACGTGTATCTGGTTAGGATAACACCTGCCTGCTGCCAGGTGTACAGAAAAGCACAAGACATAATGATGACCTTTACAGACAATATAAAGATAAGCCTCTCCAGCTAAATATCAGGTATGCAAATGCACGCTCCATTTGATATGACATTAACCCAAAGATCAGGTTAGCCACAGCCTTTAAAAGCAGTCACCTAACTTACCTCCGTGACAGCAGAAGATCTTCTCATCCACAATAGCTGCAATAGGCAGACAGTTAAAGCAGTCTGTGAAGGTCTTCCAGAGCTTAATGTTAAACCTCCGCTTGCCTACAAGAACAGTGCATGACATTAGGAAGAGACAGCTGTTTTCTTGAAGCCAACCTACAATACATTTCACAACCTGACCAAGGACATTACCAAAACATCTTTACAGAGATATATTCCAGTGTATTTAGGTTTCTATCTCCTGCAATAGTATTTCAAGGACAGCAGAAGAAGAAATATTTAAGTTTAACCTTATTTTGGTAGGTACTTTCAGAAAGTTTCAAAGAAGGTTCACAGAATATTTCAAATAAAGTTCACAGAATACTGAAACCCTTGCAGTTTAAGAGTCGCTACTAGAAGTGCTTCCAAAACATACAGTATAACAGGCTTTCAGAAGGAACAGGCTTTGCTTACATTCATCATAGAATCCATAGATCCGATTGATGCTAGCACACTCATGATTTCCTCTTAAGAGAAAGAAGTTCTCTGGGTACTTGATTTTATATGCCAAGAGTAGGCAAATTGTTTCCAAAGACTGTTTGCCTCTGTCTACATAATCTCCAAGGAAAAGATAATTAGCTTCTGGCGGGAATCCTCCATATTCAAATAGTCGAAGCAAGTCTGTATACTGACCATGAATATCACCTGAATAAGAAAACATTTACCAAGAATTAGCACAACAGTGTGAAGAGCAGACACATCAAGAACTTAAGTCAGTCAATCACTTTTATTAACCAATCTTAAAAGAAATGCTTTAGTTTAAAAAACAGACTGGCAATAGGCATCAAAAAGGTGAGAACCAAGCTAACATTGCATTTAGTAAATACTTAAATTTGTGAGTAACTTACAATCTATGCAGAACTGCTAACTATGAAAACCTGAAAAACAAAAGCTACACAAGGAGTCTTCTCAATTAAGCTTAAGCTTTCTAATCATGCTCTAATTTATTCAAATTAAAACGAAGTCAGAAAGAAATCTCTAATTGAACAGTTACCTGGCCAGGAAGCCAATGTACTATGAGAAAGTTAAGTCACATTATTTATTGCAACAACAGGTCAGTAAAGCATCTAGATTAACTGGAGAGAAACCAAACATTGTGCTGGCAGTGAGCACTTACTTCAAAGGTCAACTGCCTGTCCTCCTATAACACTGCTGTACTAAGATACCCTAAATGCCAGGGAACAGGGATTTCTTTTGATGCAATTACTTATACAAAAACAGTACAGAGACCCAAAGGCTGACAGCCTTCATAAGATATTCAACCCTGCAGAAGTATTTTAGGAAAAATAACTTACTCATCACACTGCCACCTTCGAAATTAAGCAGGCTTTCCATGAGACAGCTCTGTGCAGCAATTAAAACACCATGTCTTATCAGACTAGCCAAAAGTAAACTATCTGAGCTGCCCATAAGGTCAAAGATAATACCAAGCCACTCTACAGGAACTCATAACAATGCATCTGATGTATTCCAGCTGACTGTAGAATTCATTACTGGAGTAACTGAATGCAAAAAATCCACCTAATAAATTTTCATTACAGGCTATATGCTGATAGTATTGACTACCTCATAGTCCCTTACACTAAGCACGCCATAAATGTATTTTCTCTTTTGTCATTGTTCTGTGGAAAAATACCTGTTTTTATTAAGCACAGTTATTCTCCGGTAGAGAATTAGCTTCCATAACCATACCATAAAACTAAAAAAGCAGCAACACCCCCACGCCTACAATCTTGAAAAGGTATTCCCAGACCTGTATGCTCACCAGTTCAAATAGCTACGTACTCCAGTTACTAGTTGATGCTCTGTTATGGAAAAAATAACAAAGCATAAATTCAACACTCCCTTCTTTAGGCAGTATCTTTTTTTTTTTTTTAAAAAAAAAAGCTATTCTTTACTCCAGGAGGGGAATTATATCCTCATTTTCTTTTAATGATAAATATTATGCATTACCCAATTGCATGCACTTTGAAGTTCGACCAGCTAAAATCATTTTCACATGCACTGCAACAAGAACAATTCTAGTCTACTTGATATTAGAAATCTCCAGGTTGTCATCAGAAGAAAACATAGAAGATTTGTCAACAAGTGACCATGATGTTGAGTCTAGTGCTCTGAAACTGTTTTATCAGTACTCAGACTTCATCACCATCAGAATCAATTACCACATAAATAAATATTACATTTATTGCCTGGAACTACTTTCAGTTACATATGAGACAGAAGGACCAAAGGACTTAAAGGGTAAAGTTTCTACATTTTGTAGAATTTATTTTGTAAAGGGACCTCAGCATTTAATACTGTTCCATTGAAGGCAGTTGATACCTTTAAAATACAGGTTCATATGGGCACAAGTTGAAGTCCGTCAGATATGAAGCCCTACGATAAAAGCTGCAACTATTTTAAAATGGACATTTACATAAGAGTACCTTTCATCTTACGTTAGAACGCAGCCATTCAAGATGTAAAAGCTTATTTTGAACTGACTTGATTACAAGAAAAGACAGTCCTATAAATGATCCCTCAAGCACTGTCTGAATACACTATATGGTAGTTCAAAGTAGTACAGCTGCCTCATTTGCTTTGGTGAAAGACATCATCACTCTTTCACTTTGAAGTACATACATCTTTGACAATTGCTCTAATACTAAATGTAGATGCACCTGACACTTCCATGTGCTATCGCTTTGTTTAGAATCTAATTTAAAAATAACAAATGCCTTATCTAACTGTGCATTTGCTACCTTATTGTGCATCTAAGAGTCCTTTCAGCTGTCTAGATTTTAAGAAGTGAGAAATTAACTTTGAAGGAGGCTAATTATACTTTGCAGACTTTGACTTATGCGGAATATTTGAGTTTTCACCTTTCCTTTATCTAAGAATATGATGAGACTACTGTAGTCTTTTCCTCAGCCTAGCATGAAGACAATGTGCTAAAGCTGGATTTTCGCTTCACCTTTGTGTTATTAGACAAGCTGGTCTGGTTTTTGTCTCCCCACCCTACCAAGCAATTAGTCATTTTAAAGTGACTTTGTCTTTACTACTTTTCTATTATTTTATTTTTATGTTTTAATAATTAGTAATATCCTCTCTTAATGTAAGGAAGATTGCCACATTAGGCCTGCCAGGAGGAAGCCTAGAAAGAGGACAATCCATCTTTGGGCATGCTAGTAACGAACTCAAAGACCGTAACAATTTTAACTCTGACGTTTTAAGCAGCCTAATTCTATAAATTTACTGCTTTCTAAGGTTGTGTCTGCTGTGAATAACTTGAAGGATGATTACAAGTCAGTATTTACAATACTTAACTAACAGTTTTAAACAAGCCTGCATACCTATAACAACAGTGTACTTTTGAAGAAGTCCAGCATATTATAAGAGCTTAGAGATGTAAAGCAGTTTCACCCATATTTGATGACAATGTTGTTTGATAATACCTGCTATAAAGCTCAAGGGATTTTTACATGTTAACAGATTAATTTATGATTTTTTTTTAACATTGATGCTTTCTTCAACACTATTTTTGAACAATGACTAGAAAAGCAATTCATTTCATATCATATAAAGATCTTTGTTTTGCTTACGCTTTGAAGGGAACAAGTACAACAGCAAAGATTTGCTCTTTCTGTTTTTAAAAAACTAGCTGCTTTTTGAAATAATGATCTAAGGAGTAGCAGCAGCTCCACACAAGCAGTCCTTAGGGAAGTACAAGTGACAGGTTGCAAAATTTGCACTAGAAGAGAGCACAGGCAGCTCTTATCAGCAAGAGAACTTCCTCCTGCACAGTACCAGGAAGAACTGTTAGCTGCCTTTTCTTGACTTAATCCAATCTACATTGAAAATGGTATTTAAGACTGTAAAGACCTCAATCACTAATCTGTACTGCCCAAGTCAAGGTCATTTGCCTATCCCAGTATCTTTTTCATTGGATTTTCTTTCCATTCCAACTAGCATACAACTAAACCTACGGAGGTGTGTACGCTTACATAGAATACAGATATATGAAGCTTACATACCACAAATTTTCAGAGGTGCCTCTAGTTCCAGAAGAATAGGCTGGCTAAGAAATATTTCCCGTGATTTTATGCACAAGCCCCGAACTTCTGCTTCGGTCATCTGAACAATCTTCCCAGGACGACATCCTCGTACTGAAATGAGATGTTTAACAATTAAGACAGTTAATACACAAACACACAGCAACAGCTAAGTGCAGATGACCTGCACTTGAAGTCTGTATCTGACAAAAAAAGTCAGCACATATCACCGTATGTACCAAATGCACTGGAATTACATATTTCAAAAAATCTTAGAAACCAAACTCTTATACTGTAGTAACAGCCAGCACCTTAAGGTCTCCATGCATGCCTGCAAGTCAGGTCCCCAGAAGAGAACAAATGAAGCTTTGCTTTCTCCTGTATGTGGATAAATAGCAACTTGAAGTGTTTAAATGAATGACCAGATTATGCTAGAGTATTCACAGTAAGAAAAAAATCCTAAAAACGTTTTCATATTAACACAGAACGAACTTACTTAGGACCATTGAGTTCAACAGTTAGCTAAATACAAAGAAAAGACAACGGTTTGAGCTTTCAGCAGCTGAAATTGTCACATTAGAAATACGAAACTACACTACATTGGTGTTGATGAAATCTTTATTCCTATATAAAGGATCTTGAGTTACTGGAACCTCTGCATCTAAACAGAGACATTCCAATTAGCATGAAATTGAATTCCTATTCTCCTAAGTCAGGTCTTCAGATCTATATTTAGTGCTCGGTTTTCAAGAGCATTCACATTGCACTACAACCACCATCCTCTGACAAGCCTACCTGCAGCTGCTTCTTTCCACAAATATCTGCACTTTGGCCCATCCAGTTCAGTTTTGCATCTCAGCATAACCCAAGCTTCAGATCCAAACTAATAAACCAGCATATACTAGTGCCTGCAACAGGCCAACATCCTGTTCTGCCATCTGCTTCAGAGAGAGCAATGTTCAGCATTAAACAACGGGTAGCTACAAGAGAAGGTGGAACGAACCTGTAGCAGTTCAAATCCAAATGTTTTCAAACTCAAACATATTAAGACACTGCTCAATGAAAACATTAGCTGAAACTTCAGGAAGTCAAATATGAGATTTTGCTAACAGAAGAGCAAAAGCTTCACGGATAAAATCAATTCCTTGGTTGCCTGTTTCCTATATCGAAAACAATATTAAGCTTGCAACTTTTACTTTCCAAAAGAGATCAATATCATTATGTACATTCTATAATGGGGAATGTACAAGGGATACAAGGGGAAACAACCTGTTGTAAGACAGCTAGTACTGCAGTTCAAAAACTGTTAATCTCAAAAAGCTCTTCTGTTTTTCATTGCATGCTTCTCCCAGCGCACATCTGACCAATCTGACGCTGTGCTATGATTTTTATTTTTATTTTAAATAGGCACCAGATCTCTTGTTCAGCTGAGGTTAGGAAGCAGTCATAGGAAGAGATGAGGAGGTAGAAATGAAGAATTATCTCAAGCAGGGAAGAGAAGATGTGAAAACAGATCTTGGGACAGCCAGCAGGAGGGCCACTTTACCCACACAGCGGGGCTCCCCTGGAAATGACTTGCTCATCAGAATGCCACCAGGACAGGGCTGATACAAGTGGCGCTCAGCACTCCTTTCAGGGAAACCCCACATCAGTACCATATGGCAGGTGTCGCCTGGCAAGTCACGTGCTTCTAGCTAACAACTACGTTAGATACAGCAAACAGCTTTTTAGTAACTTTTTTTTGTCATAAAATATTGTTCACGCATTAAGATGTGGGGTAACATATTAAGAGAATACAAGGGCAAACAGACAGTCAATGTGATGGGAGAGCAAAAGCATACAGGCTTCAGTTTCACCACATCTCAAATGTCTACTAGATGATGTACTTATGGATAGCCCTTCAGCCCCAAAAAGATCACTGGCAAAAGAAAAAACAGGCCTTGACAGTTTTGTGCAGGACTTGACTATTCGATTTGAGAATACACGTACCTGAACGCTCCAACAATCTCCATGCTTTTCTAGTGCTTTGTTTGGGTAGCTTAAACAGGTTCCTTTCACAGATCTGAAGCTCACTGCCCAGATGCAACAAGCCAGCACTACACAGAAAGCTCCCACCTGACAGAGCACAGTCCTAACAACCACTCCAATGGCTATCATTTATTGAAATGATTCTGCTCCATTTTAACCCCATGGCTGTCCAATGCTTATAACACAAGATCATGCTGAAGAAGCACGGAGCCCAACTAGCTGCTTGTCAGCCATGTTTTTCTTCCACAAACTCTGTATTCTTTTAACCGCTTTTGATAAGCAATCAAGTTTTCTTCTGTGTTTAACTACTGTCATAACATTTTGCAACACCAAATTAAAACCAAGAAACAATTTAACTGTGCAATTTACATCTTATCTAGTTTTGGACCTCGAGCCCAGGAAACCCCACCATACACACCCCTAATGTTACCACCAGCAGTCCCAAACAGAGAGTGCAGTTAAGGAGAGCACTCATACTACTTCAAATAGCTCTGATCCTACCATCTTAGGACGCCAGACTTTTGCTTTTGCTCCCTTTGAAACTTGATGGGAGGTTTAAACTTGCATCAATTGCTTTATAGGATAGAGCCTTTAATGCTGCTGGATTTCTGCACTAGACCACACGGCCCCTGACTTCAAATTCAGCTACCTGCCACAGACGGAGCATCCAGTGTCATGCTGTTAGCTCATTGTACAATGCAGCCCCTAACAGACAAACCAATGCACAGTCCGGCAACCCTCTACCATGGTCAGATTCTCCAGAAAAGCAAATTGCTAGAACTACATCAAGCACATCACTCTCTATCAGGAGATAAAGCACACCCAACGACCCCAGTTACTTTCTGCCCCAGGAAGGAGCCTGGGACACCACACCGTGATGAAGCCCTCCCCACACCAGCGGGCAGCAGCTCCCTGCGAACAGGTCCACTCAGCACAGAGCCTGGGATTTCACGAGGAATAACCACCAATAACGTGCTAAAGAGCAAGGAAGTTCTCTCACAGTCCCCGATCGTCCATAAACAATTTATGTATGGAAACATGAGAAGGTGCTGGGATGCAGGAAGCCTCAGCACATTGCTGGATTCACACTGGGAGGTGTTGAAAGGTCAGCCAGCTAGTCATCTGAAAGGGCTGGGCCACGAGCAGTGCTAAGCACATCTTTTACCGACTTACACTAACAGTTAGTTTTGTTTGTGTCTCCTCGACTCAGCCGGGCACCGCTCGGATTGTAAATAGGAGCATCTCTCACCATATTTAGTTTTGCAAAAGCCAAGTCCTCAGAACAGATTTAAGAGGAAGTTTGGAGAATCAGATCTAGAGTGTAAGCAGTGTTTCTCAGACTTCTTTGCAAATGGCTACAGGCAGCCATTCCTGAAACTCACTCGTCAGAGCTGTACACACTGGGAGGTTTGCAGCTCACCGAAGGCTCTAGTAGCACCGGGAAAGCCACCCATTGCCAATGGCTGCCACTGAGCCAGAGCAGGAACAGCACCTCGACATTAGATATAAATTAGTCCTCTAAGATGCAGAGGCTGTAAACAAGCTTTGATTTAGGTGAATACCTTCAGTAGGGACAGCAACTCCTCTCGTAATTCACGGTGCCACGTGTGCAGTGCTATGCCAGAAGAAGCCTGTGCTGCAAGGAGCTTAAACCATGGTGAAACAGTAGAGAACAACAAATTAAAAGCAACTCCGTGCACTGTACTGACAAGCTATTATTTTAGCACAGTGTTTCCTGTAGCAATCCAAGAGATGCTCTAATCACTATTGAAGTGTTCTCAGCATCAACACAACCTTCGATAAGCAACCTTAGTAAGCCTAGCAACAGGAACTGGTCATTTGAGAATGGTTGCACGGTACCAGGAAAAGAAAATCTCCTGCAAGGTGTTTGCTTTACTTTTGTTTGTTTTTATCCCTCCAAACTCATTCCAGAGACCAGCACATTATGTATGGCTACAAGGCAATAGTGGCCAGGAAGGAAACAGCACCCAGGAGTGCGGTTTGAGAACTGCTTGTTGCAAGTTGTGCAGGCATCGCTCCTTTTGCCATTCTTCTCTATGACACGGAGAAAATCCACTAACCTAGTCTGTCATCCTGTTTCTGGAGCGCCTCTCACTTTCAGTAACTAAGCTCCTCATTTTGTGGCATCACTAATAGAAGTTTCTTCAATTATTAAATCAGCTGTGGGGTGCACAGCTGTCCTAAGCATTTACACCATGCTCTCCAAGAGCATGTGCATCCTGTTTACTGGACACCACTCACACTTCTAGCAGAACATTAGATCCCATATACCCTTCTAAGGATCAAAAAAACAAGGGCAGCATTGCTCCCTCTTCCTCTGAGCTCTTACTTTGTGGCCAGACACATTTGTATGGCCACACAGTAAAACACATCAAGGAGCTCATCTGTTCTGTCTAGCAGAAAAATGCAAGAAAGAAGCTTAATCTAGATAGCTCCCCCAGGGTGGAAGAGGCATCCACTGTGAACTTGGGCAAGGACTAATGAAAGGAATAAGCAGCTGGTTCTGCTTCTTTCAGCAGCATCCCCGGCCAAGGTATTTCTGGAATTGGGGCTTTCATGTTCTATGTTCATTCTATTTTTCATTTCTATTTGCCAGAGCATATCTTGAACAAAAAGCAAACAAAAACACACCACAACACCAGACTGCAAGCAGGCAATCCCACCAATATCACCCAAGTTCATGTTCTCCCCTAGCAGTCTCTGGAATGTTTAATGATTGGCAACTATCCAGCTACAGCACTTAACTGTCTCTCTCTTGTACCTCAAGACATTTGGGAATATTTGACAAATCCTGAACAGCCTCTCTAGGAGGGGAATAGATTTGGAAGCCAAAGGCAATACTACCCACTACTTCGGAAAAAAAAAAAAAAAAGAAAAAAGACAGAAAACACAGTTCTGACAGTTTTGGAAACATGTTCTCAAGTTATCTGCTCAATTTTTAAAATCCATGTTATAGGTTTCCATGGTTTTTAAATTCAAGAATCCTGGATTGGATTTAAAACGTCTTCCATTTTCAAAAGCAAAGCTTTTATTCCCTCAAAATATTTTGTTATTTAAATTGTACA